CCACTCATCCCCCTCCCGAATGCCGACCAGATGTAGGCGTTGCAGAGGTCGAGTTTAGAAAAAATAACGGCACCCTGCAGGAGCTCAAACGCGGACGCCAGCAGTGGGAGAGGGTACTTGTTCTTGACAGTTATGTTATTTAACCCCCGAAAGTCAATGCAGGGGCGCAGGGTCTTATCTTTCTTCTCAACAAAGAAGAATCCCACCCCGAGGGGAGACGTGGAGGGCCGAACAATACCTGATGCGAGGGAATCTGTGATGTAACGCTCCATGGCCTCGCCTTCAGGCTTAGAAATACTGTACAAACGGCTGGTAGGTAGGGACGCTCCAGGAAGAAGATCAATACAGCAGTCATAGGGGCGGTGGGGTGGGAGCGACAGTGCTCGGTCCTTACAAAACACTGGAGCAAGGTCGTGATAATCGCTGGGAACTTTAGAGAGGTCAGGGGTCGTGGAAACCTCTGCTGGGATATTATCTGTGATGTTAGGTAATGCCGACTTTAAACATTGCTCGTGGCATTTAACACTCCATCCTGTCAAGCAGCTGTGAGACCAGTCTATTTGGGGGTTGTGCTGCTGTAGTCACGGATAACCTAATACCAGAGGTGTTTCAGGGGCTTTGAATAAAAACAGACTGATCTTCTCAACATGGTTGCCGGAGAGTAGCAATTGGATCTCCTGAGTACAGTGAGTCACTTCGGCAAGTAATTTCCCATTCAAGGCTGACACTCTTAAAAGAATGCAGCGACTGTATCTGTGCACTGTTCAGAACTTGTGGAGGTCTTGGCAATCAGATGCAGGCCGTTTTACATCCCAAGAGAGTTTACTGTGATGATCATCGTTGCTGTTTACATCCCACCTAGTGCTAGCACAAATGCTAAAGCTAGTGGAACACTCAATGAACTCTAGAGGATTATCAGTGATCTGCAAACAGCCCACCCTGATGGCTTCTTCATTTTCGCTGGGGATTTTAACAACACCACACTTAAATCAGTTGTACCCAAATTTCACCAGAACATTAACTTTGCAACAAGAGGAGACAATATGTTGGACCTTGTTTATACAAACATTAGTGGTGCAACGGATCACAGTTGATCCAAAATCCGAACCGATCCCACTCCACTGTTCAGTACGCACGTGATTCGAAAAAGGAAAAAAAAAAAGTATGTGTATGGTGGTCAGTCTGTCAAGCGATAGTTATGGTCAGCGCTAGCGGTCCAAGTGGTGAAGCAGAGGAGTTTGCGGCATTTAAGCAGCACTTTGTTGCCCAATCCGACCGGGCTAAAGCTATTACTAACATATTGGGGTGTTTAGCTGCAGACGGGAGGCCGTATTCCGTTGTGCAAAACAAGGGGTTTAAACTGTGATGAACGTGTTTGAGCCATGCTATGATATCTTGTTGCGCGTCCACTTCAGTGTGACAAGATCATTCCGAGCATGTATGAGCAGGAAAAGTTTAAAGTTATGGCTAAACTGTCCCGGGCATCTTCTGTTGCTCTGACTACAAATGGGTGGAGCTCCAGGGCAACGGAAAGCCACGTGACCGTGACCGCTCGTTGCGGAGTGGTAGATACAAAGCCCTGCACTGATTACATTAGATTAGATGAAACTTTATTTATCCCTCAGGTGGGTTCCTCCGGGAAATTCAGTTTCCAGTAGCACAGCACCGACAGAAGTTGCAGAATGTGAGCAGAAATATACCACATATGCACATATATAAATACAGAGTATACAAAAGGGATAAATAGAATAAATAGGAATAAGAATACAAGGGAACGGCACATTTCAAGTGAGTCTATTACACCATTGGATATTAACAAAAACGATTGCACAGTGAAAAGGCACTACAGCTTACTTGTTCCCCCCTCCTTTGTTCCCGTTTCCCCTCCCTCTCCCCTCCAGCGAGGAGTTAAACAGTTTAATGGTGTGTGGGACAAAGGACTTTTTAAGTCTGCTGGTCCTTGACTTTAGGAGAAGCAACCTGTCACTGAACAGACTCCTCTGGTTGTTTATAGCCGTGTGCAGAGGATGCAGAGGCTGCCCAGCATGGTCCACAATGTCCATATTGCACCTTAATTTGTTTTTATATAAGTGTGTGGAATGAGTCTTCAGTTGAATGTTTTTAATAGGCAAAAAATACTTAAATAAGTAAATGGCGAGTCGAATTTTTGTCTTTTTTTTTTTTCTATTTTTGCTGATCCGAAAATTTATCCGATCCTTGACTTAAAACCGTGATCCGATCCGAACCGTGAGATTTTTGATCCGTTGCACCACTAACAAACATCCAGCATGCATACCAGGCTTCACCCCTCCCCCACATCGGACAATCAGACCACATCTCCATACTTCTCACTCCAGTCTAGAGACCCATCAACAAACGGATCAGACCAGCCTTCAGAGAGGTGAGAACATGGCCAGAGGGGGCCATACCTGTTTTGCAAGACTGCTTTGAATGCTCAGACTGGGATATATTTAGAGAAGCTGCTACATACTCAGACACCGTGGACCTGGAGGAGTACACAACTTCAGTGACCAGCTACATCAGCAAATGCATTGAGGATGTCACTGCCTCCAAGACCGTCATCACCTATGCAAACCATAAACCCTGGTTCTCTGCAAAGCTACGCAACCTGATGAAAGTCAGAGACTCTGCCTGTAAGGCCAAAAATAGAGAAGCTTACACTACAGCCAGAGCAGATCTATCATGGGCCATCAAAGACTCAAAGCGGCAGTATGCACATAAGATCAACACACATTTCACAAGTACAAAGGACACTCGGCGCATGTGGCACGGCATCCAAACAATCACGGGCTACAAGCCAACACCTCCAGCATGCAGCAGTGATCCCTCTCTGCCAGACCAACTAAATGACTTCTTTGCACGTTTTGAGACAGAACAAAGAGCCAGAAAGGAAGATGCCCCCCTCACCCAATGACCAAGTACTTTGTCTGTCCACAGCAGATGTCAGGATGACACTTCAGAGTAAACCTGCGAAGGGCTGCAGGACCTGACAACATACCTGGCCAGGTGCTTCGGGAGTGTGCTGACCAGCTCGCAGGCATCCTCACGAACATCCTAAACACATCACTGAGCCCAGCTGTGGTACCTGCATGCCTCAAAACCACAAATCATCCCAGTGCCAAAGAAGTCCACTGTGTCCTGCCTCAATGACTACCGGCCGGTGGCACTTACGCCCATCATCATTAAGTGCTTTGAGAGGCTGGTATTGAGGCACATGAAAACTCAGCTTCCACTGAATCTGGACCCGCTACAGTTTGCTCATCACCAAAACCGCTCCACAGATGATGCCATCTCATCTGCTCTTCACCTTTCTCTCTCCCATCTCGACAAAAGGACACTTATGTCAGAATGCTGTTTATTGACTTCAGCTCAGCATTCAACACAGTCATTCCCCAGGAGCTGGTAAAGAAGTTGGACTCACAAGGAATAAACACCTCCCACTGCATTTGGATCTTGGACTTCCTAACTGACAGGCCATAGTCTGTCTTCATAGGAAATAAAACCTCCAAAGTCGTCAGACTGAGCACAGGATCGCCGCAGGGCTGTGTGCTTGGTCCACTGCTGTTCACCCTGCTAACACATGACTGTACTGCACAGTACAGCTCATTTTTACCGAAACATAGCATGTTATTTATTTGTAATTCCTAGTTATACATCTCTTGAAGATATATCCTTTATATATTTATAAATGCACCATGGGGGGCTTAGGGTGAAACAGCATTTCGGTACACTGCATACTGTGTATACTACTGTACTGACAATAAAGCTCTTGAATCTGAAGTAAGCCTGCAGTGTGAGAGCGAAGTCCTCTAATAGGGTGATATGGTACTACAAGGTCATTAAGATAAGATGGGGCCTGATTATTTAAGACCTTGTATGTGAGGAGCAGGATTTTGAATTCTGGATTTAACAGGAAGCCAAAACAGGAGAAATATGCTCTCTCTTTCTAGTCCCTGTCAGGACTCTTGCTGCAGCATTTTGGATTAGCTGAAGGCTTTTCAGTGAGTTTTTAGGACTTCCTGATAATAATGAATTACAGTAGTCCAGCCTGGAAGTAATAAATGCACGAACTAGTTTTTCAGCATCACTCTGAGACGGGATATTTCTAACTTTAGAGATGTTGCTCAAATGGAAGAAAGTGGTCTTACATATTTGTTTAATATGTGCATTGAAGGACATGTCCTGGTCAAAAATGACTCCAAGGTTCCTCACAGCGTTACTGGAGGCCAAGGTAATGCCATCCAGAGTAAGAATCTGCTTAGATACCATATTTCTAAGATTTTCAGGGCCGAGTAAAATAACCTCAGTTTTATCTGAATTAAAGAGCAGAAAGTTAGCATCCATCCAGGTCTTTATGTCTTTAAGACATTCCTGCAGTTTAACTAAATGGTGTGTGTTATCTGGCTTCATGGACAGATAGAGCTGGGTGTCATCAGCATAGCAGTGAAAATGTATGCTATGTCTTCTAATGATGCTGCCTAAGGGAAGCATGTATAATGTAAACAGAATTGGTCCTAGCACTGAACCCTGTGGAACTCCATAATTAACCTCAGTGTTAAGCTTGAACATGAACAAACTGTAAATGACTTGTGGTTCAAACTAGCCTACCATCTATTACCATTAGTTCATCTATAAATTCAGCATCAAAAGTAACAAATTCTTGACTTTGACATAATTATGACATTTACGGGTCAATGTGAAGCACTTCTGTTTGAACTGAGGTGGAAAATGGGTGCAGCTACTCTGCTGTACAGGAGGAGGTGTTGTTGCATTGTGCATCTCCCATAGTGGGATTTATAATAAAAGAACACCAGAGGTCTGGACCCTGTTAAACTGATGAATATATAACACCATCATAATCTCATGTAAGCTTGTCTACTATGTGCAATGATCACAAAGCAAAGAGCCAAAACAGTGACAGGAAAGCCAGTAGCTGTGCTGAATAAAACTTGCAAAAATAAAAAACTGAATCCAAACAGTCTCAGCGAATCAAGAGTTTATGAAAGGATGGCAGGTGAATGATACAGAAGTAAATATCTGACAGCATTCTAGTAGTTATGCATGTTGTTGCTGAATCACTTAAGATGTAATCACAATAAAACAATCAATTATTTTCCCACGTGAATTTTTCATTGTTGACATAATGCTGATCAGTTTTTACATTGTTTTATGCGACAGAAGAGGAAAGACTACAACCACTAGTATAAACATTTCAGGATGATCCCATAGTCAGTCACGACCCACAGATTGCCACGATCATAGCTCACATGGCTGATGCGAGAGGGCATTGGTATTTTGGTCCAGCTCGTGCCTTGTGGAGTGCTGCTGTCGATGCCTTGTCTGTAGAGAGAAGACATTGATACTTAAATCATTGGATCTGTTTTATTTGTGCAATTGAGGTTTTGGCCTCAGCTCCTCGCCATATTATCTATCCTGAGTTAAGAGTTGTAAGTCTCATGGTTGCTCGGTCTGGTGACCCAAATATAATGTTTTTGATTACTTCATGTTCTGTGATTTGGGGGTTTCTCGTGGTCTAGTCTGTTGCATTTCTAGCTCCTTTGGTTATTCCTTAGTATTGTTGGTGATTTCTAGACTTTAGATTTTGTTAATGTTCTGTGTTACATCTAGTTATCTAGGTTTCTATGTTCGTGTATTTCCTGTTTTACTTTGGTAGTCTCATGTCCTGTGTTAGAGTTTTCTGTTTTGCTTCCTTCCTGTCTCGTGTGTCAGATTAGGTTAAGCTGTGTCTCTCTTCTGTACTTATTGTGTGTTTTCCTTTGTTCTTTGTCGGGTCGTCTGCATTTCCTCTGCTCTTCTTCACTCCACATTTTCAGGTTTCATGTTTTCTAGTTCAATGTTTCATGTTCACCTTTTCCCAGTTTAGGTTTTGTTAGATTCCTTTCTGCCATTTGTTTTGTAATATTTGTTGCAGCCCTAAATAAAGGCTTTCTTTCTGTTAACATCCACCTCATTTGTCCGCATTTGGGTCCGCATTCTCTTCTCTCCACGCCGTCTGCCTTAGCAGGCGTGACAGGAAGAGGTAAATATGTTTAACAGATGTGAAAAATGAGATTTCTATGATTTCTTTTAAGTGAACACCTAAATGTATTATAGAGGAGAGACAGATCATTCAAAGAATCCACAACTGAAATCTGAAAATTCTTAGTTACTGAGTTTCTGAGTTACAGAAACTATGATGATTATAAGTAAACATTACTAGTTTTCTTTTGTAGCATTTGACTGGTGATTCTACACATGAACATTGTATGGCTCAGTGATCATTACAATGAAAGTCGCTTCTAGAAAGATTTAAGCACAAATTGCCTTTGTGAGCAATTTGTTATTCATTTGTGGAGAGGTCATTCTAAGGTTGAAGAGCAAAATAGTGGTTGATCCATTGCATGGATAACAACAGAGGAGTCAAAAACACAATAACCTGATTCAAACAGAGACTGAAAGAGTCAAAGCAAAAAGAAAGAAGAAAGAACAGAAATACTGCCAGGGCTAGTTAAAATGCTTTCAGACTAGATTAAGTGTTTACCTTTGGAAGACTTCTCCTCCTCTATTTACAACAAAGACGCTTCCATCAGTCCCAATTTCAACCATTACTGCAAGACCATCCACTTGTATCCAGCCACTGATGCCACAGGTGCTCGGTGTTACTTTCTGTCACGAAAAGCAAATATGGTGAGATGTCTTGATCATACAAATAACAACACAAATGATCATTAAAATAAAAAAATAATTTACTGTGAAGTAGATGTTTTGACCTGAGTTCACTCCCCAGCATCCATATTTTGAGCTGCAACTGAAATACATTAAAAGCCCAGGCAGGGTTGTCCAGTTCAGGGTGCTCTGTTCCCTGTAGGCTGAGGCAATGGTGCTTTTCAGACAGTGGATGGTGGAGGTGGAGGTAACTCCCACCACCTGACCATCACCTCCAGCATCCACCTGCTGTAAACTCTCACCTGAAGACACAGAGGTACAGATCATTCATTCAAACAGCTGCTACCGCGCACACTCTACTGTCTTAAGTCTGTGATAAAGCTCACCAGTCGCATAAACAAAGCTGCCAGCTACGTATTTGTAGACCCTGTCATCGAGGTCAACACCCCAGATTCCTGCAGGTCCCACTGAGACATGCTTCAGGGTGAGTGAGCCCATTTTGTACCACTGTGATCCAATCAGAAAGTATGCATAATTGTTGCTGTCTGTCATCACAACGTTCCCCTGCCCAGCATCAATCTGTACAGCAGGAAACTGTTGTGGACCCTCCGTGCAAGTGCAGCCTGTGAAGAGAAAACCATCAGTCATATGAATGGAACCTTTATTTATTTTAAGGATAAAAATAATTTGCTTCTTGGTTGGTTTAAACAAATATAGTAAATGATAGTGTAGTTTTATTTTGAAAAACTGGACTTACCATGACTGACTGACAGGTAGTTTAGCATTAGCAGCAAGGCTGCGATAGCTTTCATCTTGTTTCTGAGTCTGTCTGCTGCAGGACTCTTCTGGGTGTGTTACTGGATGTTTGCTGAGCTACTGCACTGCACCGTTTGCGTGAGTGTGCATTTTATAATTTACCAATTATTGTGAAACATGAAACAGATTTTCTTTCTTTTTTTTTTCTTTCTTTTTTTTTACACAATTTAGGCAAAGGAGGAAGTTGTGAAACAGGGATTTTTTTCAAGTACAACCACAAAGCAACGACTGAGGATTCTTCCAAGATAAAATGATTTCCATAAAACATACAAACCTTCCTGGGACATATTTCTATTAGTTGGGGAAAGTTACTAGTGGCAACTTAACTTTACTTTGAAGTTATTCCATCTTATTAATTAGTATTAGGTCCAAGCTACTCATGATTCATAATCATCTTTTGGTTGTTTATATATTGAAAACCCTGTTTGTGCAGCTCTCTTGAAATATATACTCTAATCTCTGTTCCTTTCATGGGGTCTTACTTTAGATCCTGAGTTCCACCATACTACTGCAGGTAAAGTTGTTAATAGTACAACAATAGCTGAGGCTGTGATTATGACTCAATTCCAGACTCTGTAAATCCAAACCAAATCATGGCTGATTCTGTAAATGTCTTTGATTATGTAAGAAGTCTGTGTAATTTGTTTGTCTTCTGTAGAAAATAAAAAGAACAATATCTGTTTTGTCTCCTTCTGCCAAATGAACTGCTGCTCTAAAGAAAATTCAAAGAGGATGGAAACAGTTTCTTTTAAAAAGCTGTACAAATGCATTAGTTTGTCTTTTTAGAGGCTTTGGTATATTATGTATGTTATTAACTTTAATTTTTATTTGTAAATATAATGATAATCTTCAATACTAGTTTGTGGACGGAGACCTCCTCCCTAAGGCTGAAGTTTGCCCCTGCTCACTGAGGATGAGGGTTATCCAGAGTAATGAGTTAAAAATCTAGGTATACCATCAAAGACTGACTGAAAAACACTGGTTACAAAACACTTTTAAAAATAGTTCAAAAGTGCTGTCACGAATGAATAGCACATCCCAAAAGAGAAAGCCACAGATGTGGAAAAAATTTGGATTTCTAGAATATCAGTATGAAAGCCATGAATAACTGTTTAGAACAATAGCTCATATCACGATCATTTTGCTTTGTGTTGTAATCAAAAGATGAAACAGAAGTAAAGAATAAAAGGAAATGAATCAAAGACTTTATTGAAGATATAATCAAGGGGAAAAAATGCCCACTCTGGGTCAGGGACGAGTTCCTGCCCCAAGTGGAGGAGTTTAAGTATCTCGGGGTCTTGTTCATGAGTGACCGGAGAACGACAGACAGATTCATGCTGTGGTTGCAGTCATGTGGACCCTGTACCGATCCATCATGGTGAAGAGGGAGCTGAGTATAAAAGTGAGACTCTCAATTAGCCGGTTGATCTACATCCCTACCCTCACCTATGGTCACCTAAGCTGTGGGTAGAGACCGAAAGAATGAGATCGCAGATACAAGCACAGGAAATGAGTTTCCTCTGAAGGGTGGCTGGACTCTCACTTAGAAATAGGGTGAGAAGTTCAGCCATCCGGGAGGGGCTCAGAGTAGAGCTGCTGCTCCTCCACATCGAAAGGAGCCAGTTGAGGTGGTTCAGGCATCTGACAAGGATGGGCGCCTCCTGGTGAGGTGTTCCGTGCATGTCCCACCAGGAAGATATATGTATGTGTGTGTATATATATATATATATATATATATATATATATATATATATATATATATATATATATATATTAGGGGTGCAACGATACACAAAATTCACGGTTCGGTTCGGTATTTTTTCGATACAAAAAAAAAATGTTCATGCCTTTTTAATTTGTCATTTATTAAAATTATAAATATATATTTTAACACAAAAGTACAGTTTTTAAATTTAACCCTAACCCTTGTGCGCGTTGTTTTTTAGCTCGTCATATCGCAGCCACAGAAATTCTTTTGTCTATGAAACCATAAAGCTGCACTTTCTTTTTGCCTTATAGTCTGATTTGTCATAACTTCTCCGTTTTGTGGTAAGCTTTTCTTTGGCTGTCACTTCTTCACCCTGACCTGTCTTATTTGGCTCAGCAGAACTAAAATATATATCTGTCTGTGAAGGTTCTCAATCATCCAGGTCATCGTAGTGAAATATATATCCTGCCGCACTCACATAAGCTCAGCGATTCTCTGCGCGATCAACCTCTCACATGTTTAAGCTGCGGGAGATTTCACTTGTCATGTTTGCATAGTAAGCTAACAATTAATAAGACGATGCCAGAGGAATTGGTGCACAAATTATCATCACTCACAGATCAGTGCTGTCGCTCTCTATACACAGTTCGCGCGATTGCAAAGTGAAAGCAAAAAAACAAGCGCAAATTCAAACACGATTTCAATATGTCACATATTGACAGTGGCTCACCCAATGACATAATTACCCAGCTACATTTCTGAAAGAATGCAAAAGCATTGACATATATTTTTCCTTCCTACAATAGCCCGACAGGCAGGGGAGAGATAGCCCCGGGACGTCGGGCTAGCGATATTGCGAGCCCTGTATCTGATTGAGGAATCACTCATCTTTGGAAAAGAGAGTTTATTACAGAGAAATGTCTCTTTCCAAAATAAAAGCTATACTATAGCTTCTTCTGGGCTATATTCTCAGCAGCATATTAAACATATCAGGTCTCCATAAGGAGAATCCTGTGCTAACAGCTGTCTAAATGACTCGGCTAAAGTTTGTAGCATGCATGCTTGTTTTTGTCTTTGCACTAGGATGATGTCAGTGTAAATGTGCAGTCATATTCGTTGTGTTCCCACTAGTGCTTTCAGGTTAATCTCGTTGAAATAACCTTAACGCCACAACACGGCAAATCTCCGTTAACGAGCTACCCTATACAGAGGGGCTAGACGGCCAACACGTTAACGAGCTAACTGCGCTAACACACTAGCTCCCACCCATGTAATTGAGCATTGCATGGCACATCCAACATACTGTTTTACTTTAGTCCATGACTCGCTTACCTTCAGGGTCATACGTCACATGAAAACCAAAATAATTCCAAACGCCAGATCTGAATGAGGGTGGGGAGGTCCACTTCTGTCTCGCTAGCTTGCCCTGCGCTCTTCCTTCTTACCATGCTGTCTGTGTTAAGTGCTCAGTGAATCTGCGTTCGACTACTCCGCCTAGGCTGCACTCTCGAGCCTAGGCGGAGTAGTCAAATGCAGATTCACTGAGCGCTCAACACAGACAGCATCGTCAGAAGGAAAGTTGATAAAATAAATTACAAATTTTGTATTGTTCTTTTTTTTTCTCCCCTTTGGTTTTCTTTCTTTCTCTCCCCCTCTTTCTTTCATTCTTTCCCCCTGTCCTATCCCACAGTCATGTCTGTCCCGTTTGCAACTGAAAATAAAATAAATTCATAATTATAATAAAGGTCAATCAAATGGACCAATATGATGATCCACTTAAAATAAATCCTCTTGGCATCTTTCTTGGCCTCAAGACAACAATTCTGATGGCTATAGATCCAAACGGGACACAAAAAAAAAAAAAAAAAAAAAAAAAATTGAAAAAAAAAAAAATTGAAAAAAATTGTATTGTTCGATACATATGCGTACCGAACCGAAAGCACTGTATCGAACGGTTCAATATCGATACGAATATCGTTGCACCCCTAATATATATATATATATATATATATATATATATATATATATATATATTCACACACACACACACACACACACACACACACACACACACACACACACACACACACACAGTGGGGCAAAAAAGTATTTAGTCAGCCACCGATTGTGCAAGTTCCCCCACCTAAAATGATGACAGAGGTCAGTAATTTGCACCAGAGGTACACTTCAACTGTGAGAGACAGAATGTGAAAAAAAAATCCATGAATCCACATGGTAGGATTTGTAAAGAATTTATTCGTAAATCAGGGTGGAAAATAAGTATTTGGTCAATAACAAAAATACAACTCAATACTTTGTAACATAACCTTTGTTGGCAATAACAGAGGTCAAACGTTTACTATAGGTCTTTACCAGGTTTGCACACACAGTAGCTGGTATTTTGGCCCATTCCTCCATGCAGATCTTCTCGAGAGCAGTGATGTTTTGGGGCTGTCGCCGAGCAACACGGACTTTCAACTCCCGCCACAGATTTTCTATGGGGTTGAGGTCTGGAGACTGGCTAGGCCACTCCAGGACTTTCAAATGCTTCTTACGGAGCCACTCCTTTGTTGCCCGGGCGGTGTGTTTTGGATCATTGTCATGTTGGAAGACCCAGCCTCGTTTCATCTTCAAAGTTCTCACTGATGGAAGGAGGTTTTGGCTCAAAATCTCTCGATACATGGCCCCATTCATTCTGTCCTTAACACGGATCAGTCGTCCTGTCCCCTTGGCAGAAAAACAGCCCCATAGCATGATGTTTCCACCCCCATGCTTCACAGTAGGTATGGTGTTCTTGGGATGCAACTCAGTATTCTTCTTCCTCCAAACACGACGAGTTGAGTTTATACCAAAAAGTTCTACTTTGGTTTCATCTGACCACATGACATTCTCCCAATCCTCTGCTGTATCATCCATGTGCTCTCTGGCAAACTTCAGACGGGCCTGGACATGCACTGGCTTCAGCAGCGGAACACGTCTGGCACTGCGGGATTTGATTCCCTGCCGATGTAGTGTGTTACTGATGGTGACCTTTGTTACTTTGGTCCCAGCTCTCTGCAGGTCATTCACCAGGTCCCCCCGTGTGGTTCTGGGATCTTTGCTCACCGTTCTCATGATCATTTTGACCCCACGGGATGAGATCTTGCGTGGAGCCCCAGATCGAGGGAGATTATCAGTGGACTTGTATGTCTTCCATTTTCTGATGATTGCTCCCACAGTTGATTTTTTCACACCAAGCTGCTTGCCTATTGTAGATTCACTCTTCCCAGTCTGGTGCAGGTCTACAATACTTTTCCTGGTGTCCTTCGAAAGCTCTTTGGTCTTGGCCATGGCGGAGTTTGGAGTCTGACTGTTTGAGGCTGTGGACAG